GCTATATAATTTATCTTGAGATAGAAGCTAAGTGGGTTGATTCATGCATATAATAATTATGGGTATAGTTTTTTACGCTTACTCATAATAACCTAAGTTGACAAATTAAAGCAAGGCACTCTGGCCAAGCAACCAAGACTGATGTTACAAAAGTTGTTAAAATCACTCTCAGATACGTGGGCATCTGGTACCTCATGATTCTTCACTAGTAGTTTTCATTTCCACCTCATTATTTTCCACAATTTATGTACACGCACATTATCGAATTAATATTATTAGATCAACACAGCGTCAAGTAACTTTCGTCGGGTTGATTTGTGACTGATAAACTTCTAATCTTTGTTGATATAATTACAAGTGATATTCACTGTCACTCTCAACAAAGAATAGCTGTTTTTGTACATGAAAAGAGATTCTTGATCTTCCTAATTGCGTAAATATGGTGATCGATCGTGAAAGGCCGTGAAAAAGGTAAAAAGGAGACAAGGAAAAGCAGGATACGTAATTTACATAAATAGAAAAGCCCTCCAAAAATTCCAAGTGCCAGAACTTTGTCTGGTTATCTAGCGGGAAAACTTGAATATATACATGTATATTGATGAAGAAGCTGACATGATGATGATTCGCGCAATACCTAATAATACTTAAAGAGACAAAATAATTAATGTATATGATATATCCATATTTATGAGCTATGACAAGATTATTATGCCTTGGTGCGTGCATGTGTGGTGGTCTGTTTTGTACCAAATTATGTGACTATGATACATATCATCACTGCGGTGTATATGTAGAGGTGGCTAAGCTCAACGCGAATGAGTGGTACTTCTTCAGCTTCCGCGACCGCAAATACGCGACGGGATTCCGGACCAATAGGGCGACGACATCTGGATATTGGAAAGCGACGGGAAAGGATCGAACGTGGTGGATCCAATCACACGAGAGGTCGTAGGGATGAGGAAGACGCTGGTGTTCTACAGGAACAGAGCTCCCAATGGTATCAAAACGGGTTGGATCATGCATGAGTTCCGCTTGGAGACCCCACACATGCCTCCAAAGGTCCGTTTTCATATTTCTCTCCTTCCTCTCTCTCTCTGTGCTTTTCCCCCTCAAACTAAACTTCACCATCGTCATCATTATCATCCTTTTCTCACACATTAACTATGCCACTAGTACATATATATGAGTAATTTTTACACATGCACGACCTTTTTAACAAAATTCTATATATTCTTGTTTAATCTTAACTGCTAGATCAGAAAGGCATGTGTATAATTATGTAAGCATTTTTCAAAATCCGATAGTAAAAGCCGCCTATGAGATTAAGGCAATTATTTGATTCTTTAAGTAGGCTGACATAACTAGTTCCTTCTTAGGGTTTGAAGCGTGTCAAACATCAAAAATCAATTTTATATATATATATATTATATATAAGAAGTGAGATTTTATAAATCTCGCCACCTTATAGATGAAGGACATGTATCTTAATTATGGGCAAGACTTGGAAAGAAAGAAAAGAAGACAATTCCTGAAAGGGTTATCCAAATTAAATCCTAGCTATTCAAAGATAGATATTGGGGGAATATAAGAAAAGGCAAAAGTGTACGTTGAAATTAGAAAAGTATGTAAAGATAAAGCCGCGTGCGTGTGTGCGTGCATTACGGATTAAGAATGAATTAATTGAGTAATTAATGAGGCCAAACTTTGGTTGATGATTACAGGAAGACTGGGTTTTGTGTAGAGTATTTCACAAAAGCAAATCATCAGACGACGACAGCAACGATATCAGTGCCAAACTCATGTTAGATTCCATTTCATCTCATTCATTAACTCCGGCCTCTTCATCTTCTCCAACCAACCATACCTTCCCTCTCGTCGGCTACAACCATATTTCCTCTTCGTCTTCCTCGATCCCCACCTTCATTCACCATGACAATACTACTCAAGCCAACCATTATCATCATTCTAATTCTCTCGTCAACTTTCTTCAATTTTCTCGGGAACAAACACGGCCGCCACCAGCACTGTTACTCAGGATCAGATCAGCCCCAGTAGAGGGGGGGATGATGGGGTGGCTTCTTCTGGGACATGGGCCTCGAAGATAATAATAACAGCTTTCAGAATGGCGTCGTCGACGCAATCAGATCCTTCGAGGTTGATAATAACAGCATGGTCTTGTTATGAAGCGTCTGTGTGTACATATTTAGGTTTTAATTTTATCAAGTAATTAATGTTCCATTTGTTGATTATATATATTGTCATGTGTTGTGGTGTCTGGCTTTGAGGAACAAGTCGCGTGCTTGATTATTGCAACTTGTAATAGGGATCATGTGGTATACAGTTCAAGTGCTTAGTGTATGGTCAATTAATTTTTCTTTTTTAAGAATTATTTTTGGGGTATACGGTTAGGTTGCAGTGAAAATATATGATCCTTTATGTACAATTAATTTGTTCATGTTAATCCCTTTAGTGTCACTTATTTTCTATTTTGTATCTTATGGCCTACCATGTCGTTTCCTTTTCTTTTCTTTCCTTTTCTTTTTTCTTTGTTGGCTGAGCGCGATGATTAAGCAAAATTATCTGGCTAAGCCCCACTTAGATGGCAGAAATGAGGAACAGGATAGGACAACATAGTGTACGCTGTTGTTTCAACTTTAGATTTGAATCAACCAAATTGGAATTAGACGCCTTAAATTTTTATATTTATTTTCTTAAATATTTTGATGCCTAATTATCATTAAAAGATTATTTATAATTTGTATACTTTTCTTTTTTTAAAATAAAAATAATAAAATTTTAATAAACAGGTATATATCATCGAATCAATTCTAGATGCTTATATCAAATCAATTGAAAATACATTTTATCATAAAAAAATTCTACTAAAATAAATTGCAAAACGGATAAAAAGGTAACCTTCCGAATTCGCTCAAACATTTTTCATGTGCATATATAACAAAAATAATATCAAAGATAAATTACTTGAACTAATGGTATTCAAAATGATCATAGCAAACCAAACTAAATCAAACTGACATAAATCGATTATAAATGAAGTTTGGTTCTAATTTTTTTTTGATAAAACTAATTGATTCAGTTTGGTTCAAGTTTTTGCTTCTGAAATTTGAATCAAACTAAATCAAGTCTTATTATATTTATTATATATAATTTATAAATTTGTTAAGTTTTGTCTCTTTTCCAAGTTTAGTTATTTGTAAATAATAAGTAAAAATAAGTTATAATTAGCTAAAGATAATTTTTTAATTTTTTATAATAAAGTATTTTAAAGATAATACATTAATTTTTAATTGTTAAATATGCAAATTAATTGTTAAAAAACATTCTTTTGTACTCGAGTTTTTTTATTGCAAAATATGATAATTATCAGTGAATATAAATATATATTAGTGATTAAGAAGAATATCTTATTAAAAAGTTCAAACTTGATCTAAACTTAAATCAAACCATCCAAAATTGAACCAAATTAATTAGAGAAAAAAATAAATAGATTTTAGATTATAGTGAATCAATTAATTTGATTCAATCTAGTTTTTTTTTTAAATCAAATCGAACCAAACCTATAAATACCCTTATTCGAAAGTGAGATAATGAACTGATTGCCAATAATATGCCCAATATTTCAGGAAACAATATATTCAATATATAAAATATAACTTTCAAAAACCACTCGTGATTAAGAAATGGCACTAATAACCTTAACTGGATTATATGAATTAAAAAATATTAATGTTTATGATATCAGAAATGTAATTTTTTTTCACCCCACATGTGTGGGTATATACACATACACACTCCTTTACCACGAGTTTAAAAATATTAAGCTCCTCATTCATTGCTCAAAATAATTCTCTGATGAGTTGGTCATATCGATGATATCACGAGCTCCTCTAAGTATTGTTTTGTATTTAACAATTTTAAAATTATAATTAACCACTGCGAACAAATATTGTTGGTCAGGACTTTCTTGGTTTAAGAAAGAAGCAGGAATTTATACCTAAGATCAGTGCCATTACCAATTTATAAGCCACGCATACTTCCCAGTCTCTCAGTAATAAACACCAAGTAAATATGCACGTGTAACGGAAAATTAGGCTAGTAAGCAGGTTTGAATGCAAAGGAATTTTGTAAACAAATAAAAAAAAACAACAGGTGACCAATAAATTCAATTAACGTCATACAAAGTGATGTTAGAAATAAGCCGTGTGTGTGCGTGTTCATAAAATATGTCGCACCGTCATAGTTACTCGTCAAAATCAACCATGAATCATTTTGTTTTCCGCCGGTAGATTTACTAACACAGTAAGATTCCAAGAGATGACGAAATGGGATTTTTTTTTGGCTTAATTAAAGGATAAGAAGAAACTGTCAAGTAAATTGCTATATGGATTTAAAGCATGTGATGAGATAGTACGAACAAAAGCTAAGATGATGAGTGAGAAGATGGAGCAGAGTGATTGCTTTGTTTGGGGCTTATATTTCAACGGGAATCTTCAGTCTATTTCTGCATCAAAGTTATCAGGGACATTAACATGACGCCTATAAGATCTTTGTTAGAGAAAATCTTTTACTTTACTACCATTCACCATCACCGTGTTCTAATAAAGCCCATGCATGCATTTCCCCAGAAAATGACCCCCCAACATGTTTTTATTTTTTTTTAATTTTTTGCCGTGTAATTTCTTGGAATAAAGTTCCCATGTTGGAGTCATAGTCAGGGTGGGTTTTAATTTCTAATTATTTTACGTTAATTTCACTGTGTGTTAGTTATTTGTCGGTACACTTGTCCAACGCTGGATTCCACATTGAAATATGTGTCCATGCGGTTGGGTAAAAAGATTCTTTGTTCTTGCTGCAAAATTTGCTTTTGTGCTTTTTTGCTTTATCTCTCTTCGTGTCATTATTTTATCCAAACAAAACTATTTCTTAGAAAACTGGTATTGTGTCTGCTTCAGCCTCCTTTCATTTGATAAAAGCTCCCCCACAGCGTCGCAAGGCACGGATATATATATATATATATATATATATAATATTGACGAGCCCAATGATTGGAGGCTGCTGGAAATGATGATACAATTAAGTTGAATGTAACGTATACGTTGCATATGCTCTTAATTAATTAATTTTCTGAGCATGCTATATATACACATCTGATCCTGAGTTTAATTAATTTGTTGAAATAAAAAACTACTTAACCTTGATTTCTTAATTTTGTCAACTCCTGACATAGAAAATTCATGAAAGGCCAAGAGAAGAAATGATATAATAATGCTTGAAGTTGTCTGCAAGATATGTTGGAGTGGAACTAATTCTTGTTGTTTTGCATAAGAAATAGGGACGCTTGCAATGTTGTACATGAATTTAGATAATATTAGTTGTCTAAATCAAGTTATTACAATAAGAACAATGAAAATCTTGTGAAGTTCAAGACAAAACAACATGATGGGTATTAATTAAGGCCATATTTTTACAATGATTATTTGAAGTGCTTTCTATATAAGCAATACATATATATGACACGTGACATAGTTAATTAATCCCATGATCAGGATATAAAACACAGTTCTGTGTGAGTTCTGAGTTCTGACAGAAGTCAATCCCCCGTACGTCATTTACTTAAACATGAATTGTTGTTAGATCGAGATTATGTTTCAAGCATAAGAGAATGATTCTGGTGACTCATTAAAGAAAACAGGAAAACTGCCGAGGAAAAAACAAGCGGTTTTTTTATTCCCTTGGATACATTAACACTTTTTTTTTTTGGTCGAGATATATTAACATATAATTCCAAAGATTTAGTGAAATTGGGTGAGGTGTTGATGACTCTCTCTCTCTCTTTCTCTCTCTGTTTTTTTTTTTTTAAACAAGTTGTTGAATGTTGATTCTCTCTATGACTTTGGTTCTTCTGAAAAGTGAAAGGGGGCTCTGAAAACACCAAAAGAGTTTCATGGCCATTATCTTCTTTAAGCAATAGCCACTCTTTCTGGTCGTCTCTCAGGTGCCTTTTTCCTTGGATTTTGATTTGTGGTGCCATGAGAATTTGTGCGTTCTCATTCCGTTATGAAATATACTAATATTTTCCTAAAAAAGATGCACAAAATAAATACAATATATGTACGAAATTTACTTTCCAATCCCTTTTCCTTTATTAGGTACATTATGAGGGACTAGTCCTTTTTACTATACTAGTAGTCAATTCTTGTTGGTTGTTATTTCATTTTTTTACTATCCATAAGTATCTTTTATTGAAGATAATCATATTAGAGATATTGTTGGGTATTAAATATGAGCATCAAAGACACTTCAATGCTCATATTAAAGGTTTTTTTTTTTTTTTTGTTGGGATTGGAGGGGGGACACGAATCAAATGATAGTGGGGAGCAAGACTGCGAGACTATCACTTCGTTTTTTTACCTTTAAAAAAAACAAAGTAGATAATTTTTTTGTGATCTAAACAATGTTATTATGAAAATGTGGTGGCAAACATGCATGTCCCTTTTCTTTTTTGGAACAACTCAAATATATATATATATATATATAATAGGCCGTTGCCTTTTCTTTTTTTTTTTGGGTACACAACCATTCCCATTTCACTGCTGCTTCTCATTTATACACACACGCATATATGTGCGCCTATATATATATATATATATATATAGTTTTATTTCTTTTATTTACTTCTTTTCAATACTTTTGCAATACGATGATTAGTATTCATGTTATTTTAATTATGTGATTAGATGGCCTAAAGTCATATCACTTTAAATTTTCATTATTTTCTAAGTGATCAATTTATGGTCATAATAAATTATATAGCCAGAATATATATTTAATTTTGTTATTATATAGCTAGAAACCATATTTGATTTTATTATCATGTGGTTAGAAGCAGTATTTGATTTCATGATTATATGATTAGAAGTCTTTTATGATCATATTGCTAAAAGCGATAGTTAATCTTATCATTATATGGCTAGAAGTCATCTCAGTTTTAATTATGACTTTTCTGTAAAAGAATAACTTTATAGGCCTGACAATGAATGTAAACTTTGTAGAATTTTAATGGGTATCTCAATTATTAATTTGATT